AGTCAGTTGAAAGAAATGTTTGGTGATAAGCTAAACCATTTTGTTTCATGCTCCTTCAAAATGTTTCAGCTACAGCAACAGAGGAGTACTTTGTGCTTTTTGACATTTATTTGGATTGTAGAAATACAATAACAAAAACAAAAAAATTCTGCAAAAAAAAGATGCAGAAGAATAAGCAATAGATAAAAAAAAAAGCTTTTAATTGCTTTATTGAAGCAGAAAAGTAAAAAAAGCAGAAAGAAAAAAAGTATATGTTAAGAAAATTTTAACCTCTAATTAATTCATTAATTTATAAATTTTTTGGTTTTAACAGTCTCTGGAAGCTGACAAAAAATACTTGTAACGCTGCCAAAAATTATGATCTAACAAAAGTTTATTGTTTATTTTGATTATCAAACTCTTTATTTATTATAGCAGAACAAGACTTTGTTTATAATTAAGTGTGATTTTCTGCCAAGTATAACACTTATTAATATTTTCAATATAGTAATATATAAAAAAAGCAGTTTTTTATTTGCTAGGACTGTTTACTAGACATCTATACAGATATTGTGGCAGTAAAATTTGAACAGTTTAACAGTAATTTTTTCTTCATCATTTCAACAACAGACATTCTCTTCCCATATGGCTACACTTAACAGACTGCTGTATTACCTGTTGCTTCGAGAAATATTCAAAATAACGATTGGGTGAGCAGTTTTGTTTTTCCAGTGTCCCGAAGGACATTCAAGTGAGCAAACCGGATGTCAGACGATTGTTCCGTGTAACATCAGAAGGCGAATATGCACATTTCAGCTGTTTCGAGGATTTCCGTTGAAGATATGTTGAATGTTTAGTTTGCCTTCTTATTGCTTTTGCTTTTATTGCCTTTGTTGTTGTTGTTACTCTTTTACTGTTATAACTCTTTATGCTAATCAATTTATTGTAATAAGACAAAAAAAGTATCCCAATGTATATGTATAAAGTTTTTTGAAAAGACTTAAATCCTTTGATCACAAAGAAAGAAAAACCATTTTTTAAAAGCGTTTTTATTCAGTGACTGTTCTGAAATTACTAATGTTAACTATTCGGTAAGTTTTTGTGCAGAAAAAAAAGGAACAAAATTCACATGTTTTTATTTTTATCTTTACAGAATCACTGACCACAACAGTCACCTAGAAAGGAAAGATTTATTTCAATCTCAAGATTCATTTCAACGATGATAGACAACGATATAAGTAAACTTACTTTTTTTTTAACAAAATTTTTTTTCCTCCGTTCCGTGCAATTCATCTAAAAATTTTTGGCTAACAAAAAACAGCAATTTTAGTTTACTTATATATTTTTTATGACAAAAAAACAAAAAAAAAAGGAAAGAAGCCAAAAAACCCAAACAATGCCATCTTGGGGTTTGGCAGTCAAAGAAAGAAATAAGAAGAGCAGTACCATCAAAAAAAAATAGAAGCAGTAAATGCATATTTAAAATCTAAAAAAAAAAAAGTAAAAATCACCGAGTTTTGTTGAAGACAAAAAAAAACAGGAAAAAAAACGGCAGGCAAACTAACAAACTGTAAACTGTAATCATCAACTAATCCACTCTGTTAATTTTACTACTTTCAAACAGGAATATAAGCTAAAAAGCAGGTCCTCCTAAATTTTTTTTCGTCCCATAAATTAAACTATCATAAAGATGTAAAATAATTTCACCAAAAAAGTCTTAAGTACTAAAATAACAAAGAAAAAAAGAAGAAGAACCATGCCTAAAAACAAGACGATTCTTTCAATAAACTATTCCAGACATATGCAAATCAGATAAAACAAAGCATTCACATTTTCTATCCTAAATGACCAAAAACAGTTCGCAGTAGCCATTTAACAATTTAAGATTATGACCTAAAAAAAAATAAACTTCTTTTTTCTGATTTTTCCACATTAATCGTATTTAATATTTTTTGAAAAAAGAAAAAAAAAGTGCTGTCTTTGTTTGAACACAAAACAAAAGAAACAAATGAACAAATAAGTTTGGGATCAATAAATATATAATTGATCAAAAATATGCTAATAAATGTACACTGTTTTAAGCGACAAGAAATTATAATAATATTATTATAAAATAGAAGACAAAAATTGACGAAAAAAATTTACAACACCACAATAATGTAATACTGCTATTTATATCTAAACAACACAATGTCTACACCTAAAAAGGGAACAGCGAAAAAAGAAACAAATTATACTTCATTCAAATGGATTTTTTCGTCGTTTTTCATCGTCACATTCTTCCAGATCACAAGCATGTACTTCAATTGTTACACCACCACCACAAGATCTGTAAAAGCAAGTAAAAGTTGATCTTATTTATAGAAAATTGTGAATTAAATTCAATTAAATTATTAATAAAATTTCTGTCCTTTTAGCATTAATTGTAGAACTAATGCAAAAATAATAATTGAATAATACACCGACAAGATACCTGCAAGGACATTGCCGTTTTCTTATCCGTTCACCAGTCCCGCATGTAACTGTACAATCTGTCCATCTACTCCAATTTTCCCAATTACAATAATCAGTATCGTGATTACTTCTCTGAATCTCTTTTTCCTGATTTGTTACTGACTCAGTAATTTGATCAGTTGCAAATGCATCTTTTTTGTCGCAATATTCCGTTTCAAATGTTGCTCCAACACAACTACATCGAACATTTTGTGCAGCTTCAATAAGCAAAAAAAAAAAAAATCACCAAAATATTACATAAAATTATCATTTGTTTCTCTTCTTCTACTCTTAGAAATTTTACATTAATTTTACATTAACGAAATATCATATTCTTAAGTAAAAAATTCAAAAAAAACTACAGAAGTTTAATAAACCTGAAATTGCTACACAAGATCTCGTTCGAGTTCTTTTTCCGTGTATACAGCTGCTCCATGTGTTCCAAGTTGACCATGAACAATCGGCTGTTGGCGTTTTTGACGACGTTCTTATTGCATTTACAGGTCTTATTCCATAGCCAAGGTTTAAAGTACGTGGACATTCCTTAACATACATTGCCTTAAACTACCATATTTTATAATTTGATGGAAAGTTAAAACTTGCACTTAAAAATCAGGTTTTTAGAAGCAAAAATTTACTGGAGAAACACATGGAGCTGACTGAATAGCTTCCCCGAAACAATGACATTCAGCATTTGGATAAAATGGACGTTGGCCACCTAAGTTTTGCAACGCACTTTCTTCATCGCAGTAACGATTTCTAACTCCAAAACCCTAAAATAATCAAAACTACGATAACTTTACAAATGGCTTGCTCATTCTAAAGCATAATTAAACAGCAACAAATAATATGCGTATTACCGTATCACAAGTATCACTACACCCACACCACTCTCCCCAGTTAGACCAAGCACACTGATTAGTCTTGAAACATGGTTGCATATTACAGTCATCTTCTTCATAAGTCTTTCCTTCACAATGGCATTGTCGTCTTGAGACTCCTACAGATTCAAAAAACATTAAGTAAAAAAACGGCTGTTGTCAGTGACCAATTTTTTTAGAGAAAAAAATATGTAATAAAATCATTTTGCGGGATAAAGCGAAAAACCTTCGGAAGCTACAGCCGAATTCCAAAAGTAGAACGGCTCTCTTTTTGGCCTTGAAAACTGTTTTACTGGTACAATCGGCTGTAAACCTAAAAACCCAGGCAGAAACTCGACGAAGAAAGTTTTAAAATTAAATCATTTTCTTTAATTATATGTTACTTGCGCAGTAAGTAAAGCCACAAAATGAAGCCCGATATTTTCCACATAAATGAAAAAAAATCAAGATGTTCCTTAATTTCAACTAATAACTTTTTTCTAGCTCACTGATTTCATTACCAATACGCGAGAACGACCTGCAAAAATAGAACTTGTTGTTGGTAACACGGATTGTTTCACTACAGTATCACGCAAAAATGCAGACTGAACAAATGGGTGCCCACTACGAGTAACTGGCACAGATCTTGCTTGTGCACCTACTTCGGAGGACTGAAGTGGAATGAAATCGCTCTGCTGTCTACAGAAACGACGCCTACAAAAGAAAAAAATTTGACTCTTACAGGCAGGAACACAGTAACTATATTTTAGACTTAATCGACAGGTTAATGACGAATCTAGATTTAAAGATTAAACCTTGATCTCTTTCCGCCACCACAGGTTACTGAACATTGAGTCCACTCAGACCAAAGTGATAGTTCGCAACAAGGTTCTATAACTTTTGTGTTTCAATACTGCATAAACTAAGCAAAATAACTTCAGTAAATGATCTACCTCTGTAGCATGACCGGCGTTCGAAATCAGTACCAACACAACCTGGCTGTTGTTCTGTCTGTCGTTTCCGACCTTTTGTACTGCGATTTGCAGCGTGCAACTGACATTGTTTTTATGAGCAACAGTTATTTCTCACGTTTTATCAGCAGTTAATTAACGCTTTACAGACTTATCAAAATATTACCATAAAATTTTCCAGAGGAAAATCTTTTAGTCGCATTGCTCGAAAGAGGCCGTGATTTATAACATTTGTCCCATTTTTCATCCTGTTTTTGCTGCTCTCTATTAATACAGCTTTTGCTGCATCTGTACCAAAACAAACCATTTTATTCATTGAACATAATTTGAATCATTGCTTTACCTCACTGAAGTGATTTCCCAATATCAGCAATTTTTAACCAAAACAGTGCCCTAAGTGACGTATCTGCGTCTCTTACGTCCTTCAACAAATGGTTTCGGTAACCAATATAAATAGATTTTTGTTCCATTTCTACCACCAAAAAACTAACAATTAGCAATAGAATTTCAGTCATATAAATTTGACCTTAAAAGATGGGTATATATAGCACATACTTTTGATCTTAACATCCGAGCTTGTTTGGGGTATTAAGTCGTCAATTCTTGGAAGGTTTGATAAATCCCCTTTAATACACCTGTTAAAAAAGTTCTGTTTAATTTTTGGAAAGCTTCTATGACTTCTACAGTTGCGTTTTTTTTTGCGTTTTTCATTTTCAATATATTACTTGAAAAACTAACGTCCTCACTCGGGTACTTGTTCCCGGACCACAAGTCACTGAACACTCACTCCAGGGGGACCACTGATCCCAATAAGGACAAGCACTTTCTTCGCATATCTTCGTTTCCCTGTCGACACCATCGCAAACAGATCCAGATGGAATACAGGTTCTTATACTTAAAATTCAAATTAAATGAAAAAAAAACTGAAATGTGTTTTTACATTTATTTGAAACATTTTAAGCAGTCGCTCTAATTACCTACCGAACTTGTCTTCCCCGTCCACAACTGGCTGTGCAGGCTGACCAAGACTGCCAGCTGTTCCACTCGGGACACGGTTGCATATCGCAGTGTGTTTGATCCTGTGCCGGACCATCACAGAGAGCTTTATTTTGTTCCTTGTATATGCACTCTCTAAATGTATTTTATCATCAAGAATATGAAAGAGATAGCAGAAAAAGCTGCATTTTTACAAATGGAACAGACAAACAAGGTAGAGCGCCATAAGAACATTTATTTTTGAAAAATCAAGAAAAAAAACCTTGTTCTAATTCGTGTCCCATCTTCACCACACGTTACACTACATGAACCCCACGCTGACCATATACTCCATGTGGGACACTCGTGTTCATTACAAGGGGCTTGCTCTGTCGCTTTTCCAACGCATTTTAGACCGCGGCATTCTCGTTTCCTTGTCTAACATAGGAAGAAAATAAATCATAAACTTATTTCGCAAATTAGCAGTAGATATTGTAGCAAATCTAATGTTTTTTACAAATCACTTTCTGTCCAGCACC